AAAATACAAAAATTGTTTTGTTGGCCTTGCCTATTATTTTCAAATGAAATTACTGTTTGGAATAAGAATGGCTTTGAAGATTTAAATAATTTGGGTAAAGCTGGCAAAAGACACGAAAATCTTAAATCTCACATCGATTCTTTCGTAAAATTGAAGCAATTTGGAAATCAAAATAGAATAGTATTTAACATTAGTACACAATATAAAATAAATATTGAAAATTATAACAAGATAGTTACGGCTAATAGATATATTATATTTTAATTAGTAGATGTTATCAAAGCAAGAATTGGCATTTAGAGGGCATAGAGAATCTATTAAATCTAATATAACAGAGTTAATTATATTAAACTTGTTTATTTATTAAGTGCATTAGATAATCTATTAATTAAAAATATATTTAGAGAAGTCTACATTTTTTACTGGCTTATCAAACAAACGAATATGAATGGACCCTAGACCATCACTGACTGACTGCCCCCGGAAGTCGGCTTTTTACAGAAACACTATCATCAAATATCACAGCACGCCACTGTTTATTTGCTATATCCATCCAATGTTTAGTCAACTAACATGATGATTTGTTCTTTACCAATCTTTCTCTGTTCTTTAAATCTTACTAGTGATTGAAATTTATTAATCCTTTTTTTGTCATGATATGAAGGCAAGTCAAAACAAATACTTCCCCTCATATGATGATAACTCTAGCACAAAACCAGATTTAGGCACCAGCAAATCAAGTATCTGCTTGAGGTGGTGTTTTGCAAAATAATTTTATAAAAAAATCAATTAAAATTAAATTACTTAACAATTATGTTTTGTGTTTAAATCATCCCTATATTTGGAGCAACAAAAGATTAGAGTCTGTTTTGCTCTGGAGCTTAGCAAGGTTAGAGTCTGTTTTGCTCTGGATTTTTTCAAAGTATTCTTCATGCAATTCAATGCATTTTTGCCATTATTCCAACAGTCCTTGAAAAGATGTAGTAGCCTATCATCCTTTGATGTGTTGTTCAGAATTACCTATTACAACAGCAGTGATAAAAGCATCTGCTGGATGGATAGATAAGAAACGGATTCCCTATAACTTTGACTTCAGTACTGAGATTAGGAAAAAAATTGCAGAATGTCAAATCTGAATCATACAGTGGATGTGGGATGAGTTAAATGAAATTTTGACCAATAAAATCATCTAACACGTTAGAAACATGCTAAACTCCCATGTAAATGTTTAACATATCAACAACTATATAAAATATACTCACTAACAACTCCAAACTTAGATTAAGAATAAATTACACTGTCTTTTGGCATTAAAGTTGTTTACTTGAAAACTTTTTAACTAGAAGCAAGTACATCTTTATTCAATTGAACTGAATAAAGATGGAAAAAAGCCAAGTGTTTAATTAATAACACAATCTTGTGTTCAACACTCAATAAATAGTAAAACACTGTTTCAGAAAACAAAAAAAAAAAGTACTTTTGATATTTCAAAATGTCATCTTAAGGAAGTGTGTACACAATACAGTTGAATCTCACTATGATATTTTGAGGACCAGGAAAATAGTATTGTTTTACCAAGGTTATTGTTGTAGTGAGGTTTTGAAATTTAAGAACCAAGATCATTAGGAAAATGAAGATTAGTTTGGGAATATTAATCACTACAATTTACATAATGCTCTCTGATTCCTGATTAATAAATAATTCAGAACCAAATTGTATTATATTGTTTTGAACTTTGTTGTCATAAAAAATTTTTTATTTTGCTTTGGCTCATATTTTTTATGCTGTGGTTTTCAAATGCTGAATGAACTGCATTAAGAGCAGTCAGTTCATTTCCAATTTCAGGAATTGTGGTTGCCATGTGTTGAATTATTTCCATTTGAGAAATAACTTCTAAGATACTGGGGAGTTTATATGGAACTGATTCTTCTAGACAACTCTTCCTAACTCTGCCAGAATTGCCTCACCTGTGCAGTCTGTAAATAAATACAGTTTTTCATCAACAGAAACATGTTCTTCTGTCACTATGTCTATGCTGTTGCCTGTAATGCTGGAATATTTTTGTACTTGTTCCTGGAGATTTCCGCTTTGTGACACTATAGGTATGTTTATACCTGTGGTGTCCAGCCTCACTATTTGACACTAGGTCATTATTCTCAATGTTGGATAACACAGGCTTGTCATTCTTTTGAATGAAAACAAGTTTTGCTTCTTTCCAGCAGTTCTTGATTGCAACAGGTTCAAATTCCACCAGCAGCTGGCAATTATCTCACAGACTTGTTTTATGTTTGTTATATGGATTTGTTAACTTTCTTTCAATGTTTATTAATACTTTCTGCACTAAATAGAATCTGTACTTGGCTTTAAATCAGTACTGCAACCACTAGATATGGGAATATTTCAGTATTCCCATATCTAGTGGTTGCAGTACTGATATACAATTGGGAGGAAAATAGCATATTTCAGCATTGTGTAATGATTGTATATTGGTATGAACAATACAGTTATCTACTAGGAGTGCTGTTTTTTCTTTTTCTGTATCATTTGTTTGTCCACCATAATTGGCCACTTATTAAAAGTGTTTGCCGTCATCCAACATTTTCTATTAGCCTTATAATGGACTGAAATAAAGAATAATTATGAGTGTAACAGGAGATAGGAAAATTAATTTTAAAAAAATAATTTGAGAAAAGAAACTACCTGGCATACTTCTCAGGTTCTTCAGAGATCTAGATTTTGTTGATCATCCAATTACAAGAGGTGTTAATTTGTCCATTCCCGTTGAGTTGCAACACAGAACAGTGATGTGCTGTTTTGATTGTTTACCACCCTGCATGTTCCTTTAAATGCAAATGCTTTTTGGGCATCAATTGGAAAAATAACCCAGTTTCATCTGCATTGTAAATGTTGTCAGGTTGACACCTTTCAAGGATTTCTTTCATTTTTTCTCACACCAAGAATTTGTTTCTTCAAGTGGCACTAATTTTTCTTCCCGAGACAACTTTGAAGATAATGCCATGTCTTTGAAGCAATGCTGCCATTCATTGCTAGCTGTAAATTCTATGTGTCCAATTATCCTTGCAAAATGAGTTGCTTTTTGGCACAAGATGTCTGTTTATTGGTACATTCTGTGCCTGCATCTTGGTAAACCAATGGAATGTTGCACTGCCAACATCATCACAATTAGGTATCTTCAGATGTTTCTGAGAAGGATTCATGTTTCCCACTGCTACACTGCATTTGATTTCCTTCTGTTTTTTTAAAAATGTTGCTGGAGTTAACTGAGCAAAGCCACACTTCTTTGCAACTTCTGTTTGCTTCATCCCACTATCAATATCTCTGAAAACTTCTAATTTCATTTCTAAACTTAATTGTTTCCATGTTTCCATCATTTTTTTCTTTTCCTATTCGCTAGTATTGCTATTAGCCAGATCTCTTGTAGGAAAAGGAAATGCTTCATGATTAGTTGGCATTTGCAGTTCCTTGTAATAGAATTGGCCTTGTAATAGGTAGTGATGACACTCCCAATGATGCCAATTAGCTAGATGTGAACAAACCATTCTGGAATGCAGAGAGGATCTATAGGTAACACAATTAGCAAATAGGTGCTCTTACTTCTTCCCTACGCAATCCTGCATCAGTCAGCCATGGGTCATGTCAATACATATCATTGTATCATGATTTTTACTATTATTGTAGAGGGTGATAAATTACAGTATTTGTATAGGACTTTGACCAGGATTGTGGAAGTTCTATCATTGTACTAGGATTTATCGTTGTAACAGGTATTGTTTTAAAGAGGTTCAACTGTATTTGAATTAAATTTTTTTTATTTGTTGATTATATGCTTCCTATTTATCTTAAATTAAATATAAAGAATTTTTGTAGCATTTGTTTGAATTTCTGTAAAAATTACATACACAATTTAAATCACACATTTGAAATCTTTTAATATACTTTTAAAAAAATTTGTAATTTGAATATTGTGAACATTCTGTTTGTCTGAGAGTGATTTTGAAATGTCAAAAGTACTTGCTTGTAGTTAAATATTTCTCAAGTAAACAATTTTAATGCCAAAAGACAGTATAGTTTATTCTTATATCAACAAGTTTAGTAACTGCAATCATCTTGGGTGATAACACCAGCAATGTTCATGAGATTTTCAGTTAATACACAGGAGTCTGTGGACCTGTCTGAATATTCCTGGCTTTTGAAAAATGTCTTGAATCATCAAAATATTGTGGACTATAGAAAAACTTCTTTGCTAATGTTTATTTTAACCTTTCATATGCTTCTGCAGCTGTTTTTCACAAGTGTGAGCAAAATTTCACTGTTTCATACTACTTTTCATAATGAGTCTCCATTTTGTAATAAGCAAGCAACAGATTAATATTTGCTCTGAACCAAATGAAGTGTTATATTTCCATGCAATTTATTGGACAGAAGCATTCTTCAGTGATATAGATCCAGAATTTTTTTTGACAGGAAGAAGTCAGTCTGTTTGTTTTGACTTGCCTTCATAAATCCTAGAAATTTTAACTTCCTTTAATATATTTAGGCTTTGCTTTGATTCCCTTTTCCAGTACAGCCATTAAGGTGATATTAGTTTTTAATCCAACAGATCTCACCATATGAATCCATATTTCTATATGAATAGAAATATGGACTTACAAGATGCTTGTTTCATAATGAAATACTGATCTTAAGAAATATTTAATTTAATTTTTATTATCTTAGTCTATTGATTAACAGAATCCAAACTAACTATTTTTTGTAAAGATAGCTTTTGTTATTCTTATTCATTTTTTTCTTGGACACATTTTCAATTAAAAATTCTAAATAGTTACATTCTTCACTTATTTTACTTGAAATTTTATTTTATTAACTGGCAATTAACTGGTGTTTTCTACTTAATTAAATTATATAATTGACATATTTATTACTATTAAACTATATTATGATAAATTATTTTAAAGATTATTTTTATAACAATATTATAGGTTGTTATGGTTTAGGATTTAGTGTTACCACCAGGGATAATCCTGCTGGTAAAAATTGTCCAATATATATAAAAAATATACTCCCCAAAGGTTCAGCTATAGAAGATGGAAAATTGAAACCTGGCGACAGATTACTAGAGGTAGAGAAAAAGCTATATCAATTTTAACATTTTAACAAACTTACATAACAGTAATATTATCATAGGTTAATGGTCTAGAGGTGACTGGTAAATCACAAGATGAAGTGGTTACAATGTTAAGAAGTATTCCACAAGATGAAATTGCTAACTTATTGATTTCAAGACAAATATCAGATGCAACATCTCCAAGTCCTAACTTACCAAGAAAATTAGTAAGTTATTAAATGCATTAAATTAGTATAATAGAGATATGTGGATATATGTATATATAATATGATATATTTATTAATGTATCAAAATATCACATATATCATATCATAATAAAGAATAAAACTTTCATAGTAAGGAAAACACTAAACACTTTAAAAGAAACACACATTCTTTTTTTACAGATTTTTATTAATTTTTTAAAATACTTTTACTGCAACTAGCAAGGATCCAAAATTAAAAAAATAAATCACTGATTGAATATTTTAGAATATTTAAAAATTTTTTAAAATCAATTACATGATGATTTAGATATTTAATTTTTGAATTTTGGTGTATACATATATGTTTTGAAAATAAAACAAATTTTACAGAATAGTTTCAATTGTAATATATTCCTAGCTTAACAATATTCTTTTATTAAATATAATAGATCTTTTATCAAAACTAATTAAGCATAGTTCAGATGTGAAATTACTGTCATAATGAATTGATGGTGATAAAATAAAATTGCTTAAAACACATTGCTATTATATTTTATTCTATGAAGATTTTAATAGAATATATTGTATTAACTTCTTTAGCCTACAGAGAATACAGGAGAAGAAGAATATGGTTTATTAAGTAAACATAGAGAAATTATAACACTTGAGATTCCTCTTAATGATACTGGATCTGCTGGGTTAGGAGTCAGTGTAAAAGGGAAAACATCAACAATTAATGGTCATTCCACAGATTTAGGTATTTTTGTAAAATCAGTCATACATGGTGGTGCAGCTTCAAAGGTAAGTTTAAAAGTTTTATTGAATAATTACAGTATAGGGTAAATTAGGAAATCAAGATTTTACCACAGGAATATATTTAATCTACAGCTAGAATTATAAAATAAATTTTAAAAAATTATCCTATATATTAAGTTATTTTTCTAATTTTCCAGATTTACAGGGTGTTCCAAAAAGAATGCTACCATTTTAAATTATTGTAATTATGTTAATGATTATTTGAGAACATTGTAATATATATTAAAACATTGGAAAAACTGTTCAAGTTTTACATCTGCCTATTACAATATCTCAAAGTGTGCACCTAATCACATGGCACGTGTCCAACCAATACTCAAATTCTTTCTATGCTTGCTACAGCATATCTGTTATCACTTCTCTCATAGCAGCCACAATTCTACAGGTCCTGCAGATTACTCACATTGCACAATGATGAGTTGCAAAATCAGAATTGACTTTGCAAACTGTAAAACACACAAAACATCATCTCTGTTGTGGTGAAGTCACCACTTTTGTTTACAGCACTTTCTAGAGACAGTAGGCAGAAATACAGTAATTTAAAAATGATAACATTCATTTTGGAAGATCCTATATATATATATATATGTACTGTACATACACACACAAAATATAAGGTTTTGATTGTTAAAATATTTTTAATTTTTGGAATTAGTACCAATCAAAATGACTAATTTTTGAAAAAAATATTAAAAATGTTTATTTCAGTACTAATATATGATATCAGTAAAGGAACAGTAATATTTTTATGGTAGTTTTTTTAGTGAAAACTTTGATTGAATGATGTAACTTTATAAGTTTTATAAAATTATTTTTCAAAATTTGAAATTAAATATTGATCATTTTTAATGCCTGTGCCAAAAACTTTTTATTGATAAAAATTTTATTTATGTATTTAGTTTCAAGCATTAAATATTATAAGAAATACTTTATTCAACTACATAACCTTTAACTTATTATCAATTCAACTTTTTAATTTGCCTGTGTAAAAAAATATCATCAAATTTAGCCTCAGTTAAAGGAATGAATACTACAGAAAAAAAATACAAAATTTAATGATATATCATTTTTAAAGTAGTAGCAAAGCATTTGTTCATATTTTAAATGTTTTACTTACATTAAATATTAATGTTATAGGATGGCCGTCTTCAATCAAATGATCAGTTGATCAATATTAATGGAATATCATTATTAAAGATGACCAATACCCAAGCAATGGAAACATTGCGTCGGGCTATGACGCAAGGAGATGCACCAAATCCAAATGCTATTTTATTAACAATTGCAAGGAGAATATCATCTTATGAAAATCTGGATGGTTGTCATCAAAGAAGTGATTCAATTATTAGTGGCAGTGGAGAATCTGATGGTTCTGCAACAATAATATGTGGAAATTTTGGAATTTTCTCAGCTCAGTCTAATAATAATTTTTCAGACTCAAAAAAATTGGACAATACTTCAGATCATAATAACATATTAGAAAGTTCTGTTTACAGGAAATATTCACTTCCTAGTCGACATCCAGTGATTGATTATTTGATGGGACAAACTCCTAAAAGTGATTGTAATTTATCAGCAAATCTCAGTGAATGTGAATCTTTAGTTACATCTGGTTCACCTAATAATACGTCAGTTAAAAAAATTATTGACAGTACTTGTGTACCAAATTCAGAAAAGCATAGAAAATTTTCTGCTCCTGGACATTTAACAATGTTATCTACTAAAAACAATCAAATTAAAAATGAAACACCTGAATTAAACAGAAAAGTTGGTGAAAATTTTGATAGTCAGTAAGTATTAATTTTTTCTTTTTAACTAATAATAATTAACCTATAATTAATAATAGGGTTTTGGATTTATTGTGAGAAGTCAGAGTCACAATTAAAATTTCATAAGTTTAAAAGAAACACCAAAACAAGATGTAAATTTCTCTTCTCAATTCATCTTTTTTATACCTTGAGATTAAGTTAAATAGTCTGAAGAGGGCTACAATGGAGTTGAATTTTCCTTGACCCTTTTCAAAATATTTTATTTGGTCCCAAGGTGTGGGGGGACAAATTTTGAAGAAACTTGTGTGTTACATTTTTAACTTTTCTTTTAAACTTGTGAAATTTTATTAGTTTTTTTTGTATTTGTATAAATATACAAGTAT